GTGTCCCCGCGCCCGCGTGTCCCCTCCTGCTCGGTCCCCAGCGCAGCGGCGGCACAGAGAGGGGGTTAAGGCCCAGCTCTAAGCCAGGCTCACTCCTACGTCTCTTCTCCCTCTCTAGAGCAACCCTTAAATTGAATCACTTGGACTACTTGGCAATTTTTTCACTTTTTAAATTTGTTGCGTTTTATTTCTATTTTGGATTTTCCTCCGCGCACGCCGATGTGCCACGGCCCGTATTATCGCTACGCCTCTTTACACTCCTACCCTCTCTCCCCTCTCCGAACCCCACCCCCAGCTTCTTCGCTTATCTCCCTCACCCAGGCTTCGTCTCTCTCTCCCACTCAACCCCCCGTCCCAACCCCTCAGGATAACCAAGCAACCCCATCCCATATCTACCCACGAACGCTCCCAGAGAGCATTGAACTCTGCTAAACCAGCCAGCGCGTCTTCAAGTTTCATCGAATTTTTATAGGAACCTTTCTTTTAGTCTAGGGATAGGCTTTATTAAAGTATTTGAAAAGATATTTAATACCTTAGATAAATATTATTTTACCCTTATTATTTAAGTATTTGAAAATATATTTTATACTTCAAAGGGATAGTCTTTTGCTCTTTCTTTGAGTGGAAAACGATTTAATGGAATAGATGAACATTCTTCAACCCTTTATTTAAGTACTTACAAAAGACATTTAATAACGTGATCAGAACAAATGCATTTTATTTTTGTTTGCGTCTAACTTTTCCTTGCTTTTTCGAGCGAACGCTTAGGCCGAAGAGGTGAAAAGGGCCTGGGTGCATGCAGAGAGGAGTTGCAGGGGGAAGAGCTTGGAGGGGGTAGGAGAAAAGTTTTGTCGGCGCACCACGGTCACGCAACGCCCGTAGCCGGTGAGGCGACGCTAGCACGCAGACAGACAGGCGGGAGGACACGCCGACGCGCAACAGAATACTCCATAAATCCAAAACTCCAAGAATTAATATTTCCATGATTATTACTAATTGTAAATACGCTTTAGTTTTCTAAAGTGCGTGGATGAGAGGAAGTGCGAAGGCGTCCGTCTATCTGCCAGTAGAAGGAAAAGAGGGAAAGGGGGGGGGGGGCGACCCGGGGACGGCTTGGGAAAGGGGGCGGTGACTGGTGACTCCGCGCCGCTCCAAGATGGCGCCGCCATGCGTGCGCGCCCGGCCCCACCGCCTGCCAACAGCGCCTAGTTCCACCACACCACCACACAGAGAGACGCGGCTCACAACACGACGGGCCACGACACGACGGACTGTATGGGTCTTTTTATTATTAAAGCTCGCACGTTTGGCCCTCCTCTCGGACCTAGCCAAGGCAGCCAAGCCAACCTTTTTATTAGAATATTTTTTTCAGGCAGCTGCAGCAGGGCCGCACGAGTGATCGGATCAGCTCGTCGTGACTTCACACGCCCCGCCCCGCCACACCGCGTGTTGCCATGAGCGGCCAAGGCACGGATCAGACCGCGCGTGGACGTGCGGGTGCGCCTCACGGCGCACTATACTCGCGGCGGCAAAATGATAAAAACAATAATAAAGAAAGAAATGTGTCTTAGTTGTACAGTTGTACATCACGTTCAGTGCATTCTCTCGGATAAAAAGAAAATACTCGAGTGTACCCCGAAAGAAAAATAACACGACATAGGAAAATAAAAAAGATCTTGGGAGACACGGTTTAAAAGCTTGGCGCGCACGCCACGCGATGCCAAGGGCGAGCGAGGAGGACGCCGCAGCTCTGGGCGGGTACCGCAGGGCCAAGCACGCCACATGCAGCAAGACGACGTCATAAAAGGACAGCGTCAAAACGGCAGATATAATAAGAAGTCCGCACACAGGTGTGAAGGGGTGAGGAGGAGGGGAGGGCCCAAGCGTCAAGCAGCACCTTATTCCCGTCCGGTATAAAAGAAGTCGGCCTCCAGCAGGGCCAACTCTACTCTATCCACAGGGATCCTGTCAAGGTCTATCTCGAAATGGCGTGCGACGACGCCTCTCCTTCTACTCGGAGTCTTTGGTTTTAGATAATGGCCGAATAAGTTTTCGGAAAACTTGTCGCTTTTTAAGTGTTTTGATGAAGAACTGAAGTATTCGTTTGTTGAATCAAGTACGCATTCATTTGTTGAAGCTTTACCGTGTAGAGTTCATTCCTTCTCTCATTATTCGATCTCTCCTTCCTTACGGGATGGGCAGTGCGAAATAACGCGTCGCGCTATCGCATCAAAAACAAACTCTTTCCTCTCTCGTCTCACGGTGGGAAAAGTGCAACTGCAGCCAAAAGGGTCACACAGCCCAGCCCAGCGCACAAACCCGTCTGTCAGCCGCACGTCTGTTCGCCTTCCGCCCCGGTGCCCGCGGCGTGGCGCGGTGTGGTGGCCATACCGCGCCCGCGCGTGGCGGCTCCCGCTGCCGCGCCGCTGCCACCGCCAGGCACGGAGACCAAAGTCTCCCCCCCCCCAGGCTTAGGTATAGGCAAGAGCGGCCAGGAAATGTGGGAGGAACCATCGAGCGCGGGAAGGGGTAGGGGGAGAAAGGATGCGACATACACAACAA